CATTTTCTTTTGATCAGCCTCACAGCTTTGAGAGGGGGGTCTGCCGGGTCTGGTAAAACCCGCAATGCTCCCATCAAAAGCCCGGCTCCGCTGACTCTTCCTGCCATAACGGGTCAGCAAGGAGGGGAAAATGGCTTTGAGCTTTGTCCTTATTCTTCACAAAGCTCGGGTTTGCTCTAACACATGCCTAGCATTGTAGGGTTTTTCTGCTCGGTACATTCCCACCACCTCAGGTGGAAGAGGACTGGGTTTGCCAGCAATCACAGAATCCTCAGATGGTTTGGGTGGGAAGGCACCTTAAAGACCACTCAGTGCCACCCAGACACCTCCCACCAGCCCAGGTTGCTCCAAGCCCCCTCCAACCTGGCCTTGAACCCCTCCAGGGATGGGGCAGCCACAGCTTCTCTGGGCAACCTGGGCCAGGCTCTCACCACCCTCACACCAAACAAGTTCCTCCATCAAAGACCTCATCTCAATCTCCCCTCTTTCAGTGTCAAACCCTTCCCCTTTCTCCCTAGGGCTCCCCTCCCTGATCCAGAGTCCCTCCCCATCTCTCCTGGAGCCCCTTGAGGGACTCTAAGGTTTGAATTTATTTACTCCTGGAGCCCCTTGAGGGACTGGAAGGTTTGAATTTATTATTTATATATTATATTATATATCTATTTATTTATTTATATACAGGAGGTATATAGGAAAATATGCAGAGATGAGAACAAGGTAGGCATGAACTGGTGCGTACCAAAACCATCATGATGGTCACCATCCTGATTTAAAGAAAAATAATGATAAAAGGGTAAACGCAAAGGGTACATTTACACTCCCAGTGAAACCCGGGTTTTTGCCGGCAGCATCCCGGGGCCGGGCATGCCCTCTGCCGTCCGAGCGGGCGGCGGGAGAGCCCAGCGCCGGGGTTGGGAATAACCGGGATTTTCCGCGGCTCCGCGCCTTCCCCCCGCCCGGCTCCGCGCAGCGCAGCGCGGGGTCCCGCCTCACCCCGCGGGGGGACACCGGACCCCGACACCCCCCTCTGCCTCGGCGGGGCCCGTCCTTCCCCGGGAGGGACATCTCGACACCAGGTGGCACCAAATAACAACTTTCCACAGAGAGTTTTGCCCTTTTTTTTTTTTTTTTTTTTTTTTGGAAAAAAACTCGGTGAAAAGCTCTCCCGGGAACGTGCAATGAGAGCGTGAAAAAAAAAAAAACCACCCCAAAACTCCACCCAGACCCTCAGCAGGGACAGAAAAGGTGGTGACTGATTTTCCCCTGTTAGAATATTGCTCAGAGGATGAAGTTTGCTTTTGCCAACGCTTCCATACTCAATTATGATTTTAGGGGCATTTTTGGAAAAAAACTCGGTGAAAAGATTTCCCGGGAACGGGCCATGAGAGCGTGAAAAAACCCACCCCAAAACTCCACCAAGACCCTCAGCAGGGGCAGAAAAGGTGAAAAGGTGGCGACTGATTTTTCCCCTGCAGAACATTGCTCAGAGGATGAAGGGGCTGGTTTGCTTTTGCCAAAACTTCCCTACTCAATTATGATTTTAGAGGCCTTGTAACTGTACCCGGTATGATCCCATCGCAGCCTGGTGCTTCACAGTTAGTAAATTATTAAATTTCATTTAAATTATCCAAAGGGACTTAGGGAGGCCACAGGCTGGAGCCCTCCTGCTCAAAGCAGGGCTCAGACCAGGTAAGTCTGGTGTCCTTACCTGTGAAGTTCTAGAAACCTCTAAGGTGATCACAGTGAAGTTATTTAAAATTTACAATGATGTAACCCATACAGTTATTCTGATTTGATTAAAAAATTACTTTACATTCTATGGAATTTTGTGGTAACATCCCATTTTTCTCTTTAACCAACCCCCCCTACTTTTCAGAGGAGACTGCTGCTCAGCGATGTGTGCATTGCACCAGCAGACTGTATGCATTAAAAAAATATTTACAAATCAGCATTTTTCTGCCACGCTTGTATCATTAGGATGCAAGTTGCAAATTTAAGCAGTAACAGGCCAGCAGCGATGTGTGCATTGCACCAGCAGACTGTATGCATTAAAAAAATATTTACAAATCAGCATTTTTCTGCCACGCTTGTATCATTAGGATGCAAGTTGCAAATTTAAGCAGTAACAGGCCAGAGTTGCAGAAGGGCTTAATGACTTTAATCTAAACCAGTGATCCCAAACGCTCTTCATCCACAGCCTGGTGTCCTCCCAGCACTGACCCCTGGGGCCCAGTCTGGCTGGTCCCCCCAGAGCTCCAAACAAACTGGGGGCAGTGGTGAGGGGGAGGTTTTCAGAGGAGACTGCTGCTCAGCGATGTGTGCATTGCACCAGCAGACTGTATGCATTAAAAAAATATTTACAAATCAGCATTTTTCTGCCACGCTTGTATCATTAGGATGCAAGTTGCAAATTTAAGCAGTGACAGGCCCGAGTTGCAGAAGGGCTTAATGACTTTAATCCAAACCAGTGATCCCAAACACTCTTCATCCAAAGCCTGGTGTCCTCCCAGCACTGACCCTCGGAGCCCAGTCTGGCTGGTGCCCCCAGAGCTCCAAACAAACTGGGGAGAGGGAAATTTTGGGCAATAACTGACCCTCCAGGACCACAACCATCAGCCTGGATGGACTCAATCCTGCTCCAGCTCGGCATCAAGAACCCAGACCTGGGTAACCACCAGCTTGCCTCGCCTGCAATGGGGACAAGTTACTTCTCCACAAACACAAAAGTAATTACTCGAAGCACGACAGCTGCTAATTATCCCACACAAACCAGAGCACCCACTACAGTTGTGAAGAAAGGAACTGGCTCTTACCTTGGTAAAGCCAGCTAATTGCTGTGCTGCTGATTGTCCTTTCCCAGCTCAAGAGAAGAGCAGATTCTTGCTTTCTTTCCAAGCAAGGTTTAGGCATCTGCCCCCCCAAAAATACTGGGCTCTGAAAACCCCTGGTGTGTTTACTCCACAACATCTCACGTGATGGATACAGCCACGGACATTAAGAAATCTTCCCAAACTGATCCTTCCTCTTCTGCTCCTCTTCTTTCTCCACCTTCTGGTCTTGTGCAGGGAAGCCTTCTCCATCCATCTGGGACCAACAGTATCCACCACAGGTTAGTCTTTCTGTGCAAAATCTTTGTCTTAAAAATCTTATTTCTTAGAGAAGCTCATCAAGGAAAGAAGTTCCTGCCAGTTCCTACCCCCACCTCCCATACACGTCTTGGGTATTTTTGATGATAATAGACCAAGGGCAGATGTTCCAGGGGACTATCCCCCTCTTTTATCAGCCACCCTGAGCAGATCCAAGCCCTGGGGTTTAAATTTAAGAGGAATCTCAGCAGCTAATGGCAAAACAATCTATAAATGACACATACCCTCTTCAAGGCATAAAGGGGGAAAATAAAAACCCTACAGCAATAGGTGATGCCTACCAAAGGGAGCTTTTTAAAGAAAAATCATTACCTACCTGGTGATTAAGTGTGACTGGAGAGGGATGAGCTGTGGTCACTGGAAACATGATTTATTCCACGTTGGACTCCACCTTCGGTGTGCTGCCACAGGAGGCTGTCAATGGCACTTGTAATTTTCCAATTGTAATGCTCTGGGGGGATGTCTGAGCTTTACGTGTGACTGGAGAGCGATAGGGCAGATGTTCCAGGGGACTATCCCCCTCCTTTATCAGCCGCCCCGAGCAGATCTAAGCCCTGGGGTTTAAATTTAAGAGGAATCTCAGCAGCTAATGGCAAAACAATCTATAAATGACACATACCCTCTTCAAGGCATAAAGGGGGAAAATAAAAACCCTACAGCAATAGGTGATGCCTACCAAAGGGAGCTTTTTAAAGAAAAATCATTACCTACCTGGTGATTAAGTGTGACTGGAGAGGGATGAGCTGTGGTCACTGGAAACATGATTTATTCCACGTTGGACTCCACCTTCGGTGTGCTGCCACAGGAGGCTGTCAATGGCACTTGTAATTTTCCAATTGTAATGCTCTGGGGGGATGTCTGAGCTTTACGTGTGACTGGAGAGCGATAGAAATGAAAGAGGAAAAAAAAAAAAAAAGAGAAGGAAAAGGAGAAAATCAGCTCTGCTTAGGTTTGTTTTTCACATTAAATTAGGCTCATCATCAAGTAACACAAGACCAGAAATGAATCCTTAGTCCAAAAGGAAAACATACCACGGGTGGTTCTGAACTACTGGTAAAAGAAACCATAAACAAAAAAAAAAAAACCTCCACGAAATATTAATCGTCAGGCAGGAACTGCACTGCAAACACGTGTCACTCGGGCAATTAAACTTTAATGCTGTGATATGTAAACAAAAGCCCAGATGGAACGGTCTCTGCAGCTTATTCCCATAGAGCCAAGTATCTCACAAACGTGGTGATGAAATGTTTTTAAGGAGAAAGATACGGCCTGATTAATTTGGTGGCGACAGGCATAGGGCAACACACAGAAAATATTAATTTTATACAAACATTTACATAAATAGACACAGCATTCACAGGTCAAATTATTTCTGTATTTTCCATGTGTTGGGTATATCTTTAGATTAATGAGTGCCAAGGTTGCTGGGGACAGCAGTAAATTGCTCCATAGCTTTCGTTTTATGCAAAAACGTCTTTTTTCTTGGGCTACTCACTGTCCAAACACGTTGAACTCCACTGGGTTCAAATTGAAGAGTTCCATAATGTTTACCCATCGCTCCCCTGTCAGGTCTTGCCAATGCAGTCAAGGGTCTGTGGAAAGATTAAATGAGGTGATAATTCAGCTCTGGGTGCTCTGAACATGAAGCTTTTAGTCTCTGTTGAAGCAGGAGGAGTCTGGAAACATCCCGTCCTCATCCCTATCCCATCCCATCCCGATAACATCCCATCACTCATCCCCATCCCAATAACATCCCATCCCCATCCCAATAACATCCCATCCCCATCCCCACCCTCTGGCCCCTGGCTGGAGAAGGGATGGTGGGTCACCAGCAGGAGTCAGGACCAACAAAGGGCTGTTTGTGGAGCACAATCCCTCATCCCTCCCTCCCCGCACATCCCCGGCTCTCCCTCCGGCTGGGTCCGGAGACACAGCTGCCTGGGAGGTGGAAGGGAGCGAAGCAGAGGAGAAAGGTATGTCTTGCTCCTGAAATTATCCTTCTGCACTTTTTCTGCCAGTTAGGGCGTGCGAAATGGGGAATATTTACAGGAACAGGCAGGAGAGGGTTTGGGAAAAGCGGGTTTATTGTAGGCAAGAGATGCTCCTCGAGACGGGTGCATGGACACGATCCAGCTAAAGATAATTCTTTGACTATCTTGCTCTTCTTCAAAGCTACATATTAACGTCTGAAGTCATTAAACATACTACTATATTGCCTTCTGGGGCTCGATACTGCAGCAAAATTGGTGACTATAGAGAGAGGCATGTTCACAATGAACTGCTATCGTTAGGAAAAACTAAGCGGGTTTTAACGAGAACTCAGTTTCTGGGAAGAATCGCGGTATTGATGGCAATTACAAAGCAGTAATTCACTGAAATTCACTACATTTGTCCTCAGTGGCAGGAGCTGCCGCCCTGACAAGGCACCAACTGTTCACACAGAAGTGATTTGAAGGATATTTTTTTTCTTTTTGATGGAAAAAAATTTTCTTTGTAATATTATCAGTTATGCAGCTCTTGCATAACGATTCCTTGGGAAAAAAAAATTTTCTTTGTAATATTATCAGTTATGCAGCTCTTGCATAATAAGCTCTTGCTTTAATAAACCTCACTATTACACACTAACACATATTAGTGTTAAATATGAAATATTCATGCTTAGCTCAGCATTTTACAGGTGTTTCTGAAATGGAAACTTGACAAACAAATAAGCAATAAAAAGCGTTCTATTTTGCATAGATACCTTCAGCCCTTGAACTCAATGCACCTTAAGAAACAAGTATATATTAAATTTGTTTCACTTTAAGCTCATGTTGTTAACCCAGCGCGGACTGGACAAGATCACACAGCAGAAGTGAACCAATTAACGCGTTCCTTGTTTTCAATATGAGGCAACTGGAGCTGGGACCTGCTTAATAATGCCTTTTTAATGGTGTGTTTAACAGCTGATAGACCAAACTGTAAATATTTATCTTTTCCCAAACAGGCTTGGGTCTCTCGAGGTGCCGAAATACACGTTTTTGTGCCCTTTCTCAGTTTTCCCTGTTTCTAAGAGCTGAGCTTAGAGTCTTGGAGGCACCTCAGTGATTGGATTTCTCCATCACATTTCCCCCCACTTTGTTCTTATGATAAAAGACTGTTTCTGTGGGATGCAAAAGTACTTTGGGAATAAACAGGCTGGTACTACCTCTGCTCCTTACCGAGGCGGTCAGTGATGCTCCTTCCTCTGTGCAAGGACGGTCTGGGAAAGAAATCACAGCACTTTCTCAAGAAAAAGGATGCTGGAATTACCTTTTGAAGAAGGGTCTTTTGACTAAAAGTTTCCTTTGTGTTATGATCTGGAAAAAAACAAACAAACAAACAAAAAGCCCACCAGAAACCAGAGGAAATATTTAAGCAAAAATGAAATTGCAGTAAAATAAATACGTATTCCACCCCATGGCGATGTCCCGAGGCAGTCACTGACCTTAAACTCTCAGTGGCCGTTGTTCGAATCCAGCAATTCGACAGCCCCTAGAAAATCTGCCTGTTTTGGGGACAGAATGGGTTCCCAGGCATTTGGATCAGACAGGGCAGCCAGGAACAGATTCCAGAGAGCGATCCAGCCAAACTGCAGGTAGGGAAACATCACTCAAGTTATTAGGACTAAATAAATTTAAAAAAAAATAACACAAGAGCGAGATACGATGAATGCCTAGTCCTCAGGGGAAGAGCTCGCAGAATAATCCAATCACAAGAAACACAGGCATAAGCCCCCTGCTTCCTAATTTTCTCTTCCATGGAAATTTTCTTCCCTTAAATACTCAAATAATTAAGCTCAATCATTTGAACTGAATAATGTTAAATCGCACCCCCTGACATGGGCATTTATCAGGGTACAGTATAAACAAACTTGTCCTCTTCAAGCATTAGCCTTCTCAGTGCAGAGCCCTCCTAAGGGCCATGTTTACACTCTTACAAAATAAAACCATCATTATAATAATACAGATTCTTTACTCAAGTCTAAGAAACAACATCAGGCAAAGTTAGAACAATGTTTACTTTACTTGAGGAGCGGTTTTGAGGTCTAGAACTAATAAAGACAGTATGTTATTCAGTGCTGCACTCTAAGGTAATTAAAAAATAGATCCCCAAGGCTCCATTACTGGTGGTTTATGGGAGTCTCCCACTCAAAAGTTCATGGAAACTAAAAGGAATCATTCAATGAATTTTGCTTCTACGACAGAAGTTCAAAAATACACAAGAGCTTATTTTTACTTCAGTCATGTTCTTTAATATATTGGCTGCTTTTTAATATTTTATTTGGCTACTGGTGCTCAAAAACCCTAGTTTGCACAAAATCTTATGGAGAAGTATAATTGAAGAGCATCAAAGCACAGTATTTTGTCCCTATTCTGAATCCAAATTCCCAGATTTTCTTAGCTAGAATCTGTGGTGTGTCATTCCTGGCCTGAGGCAATGGAAGATCAGCAAGATAGCTGGGGGGTGGGGGTGTGTGTGAGGTAACTGCCCAGGAAAAAATACTAAAAAATACAGAAAATAAAGTACAGAGCTGGCATGGGACGGGCTGCTGGAAAGCCTGGTTGGCAGAGCTGTGCAAGGAATCATCCATCCCACACTGTAAAAAGGAGCATCACTTGAACCATGATGACCTCCTGTAAAAAGACAGTTCGCAGGACTCAAATAATAATAATAAAAAAGATTAAAGAACGTTCTCAGCCCTACTGCAGGAGGCCAGAGTGGAATGAGGCAGAGCTGCAGCCTCTGGGCTCCTCATGGCTTCAGCTTCTTGAGCTGCCCCTGATGGAGGATTCCATCAGCAGGTGTTTGGGGTTTTTTTTAAATGAGGAAAAATACTCTTAATTTTTTGTGGGTGACTCTTGTTTCCATGGGCATAACGGGCAGGAAGGGAAGGAAATGCACCCAGAGACCCCCTGGTCTGGCAGCAATCACTGCATCCCCTTACACCGCCCCAAGCACCACCTCAGGCACCACCAGCCCAGAGCAATGTTCTCGGGGTGAGAGGCCAAAGGAACAGCATTTCCAGCACCAGAAGCCTCGGTTCCCCATGAAAGGATCCTCAAGGCTGCACAGAAAGTAATTAATATAGAACCACAGAATCATTTCCAGCACCAGAAGCCTCGGTTCCCCATGAAAGGATCCTCAAGGTTGCACAGAAAGTAATTAATATAGAACCATAGAATCGTTTGGGTTGGAAGGGCCCCTTAAGGTCATTGAGTCCAACCATCAACCCAAAACTGACAAAAACCACCACTAACCCACAACCCTAAATGCCACGTCTACCCGTCTACCTGCAGGGATGGTGGCTCCACTGCTTCCCTGGGCAGCCTGGTCCATCAGTTCTGCCACAATATTATTTACCTCCTGGAAGACAGCACTCTCCAGGGCTCAGGCTCAAACCTCTGAAAGTCCCCAGGAAAGCAAACTGGGGAAAGGGATCTGCTCAGGAGCTCTCCTGGTCTCACCTACCTCCTCTCTCTCCAGCCCCAGCTGCAGGAACCCCAGCAGAGATGAGGATGGTCCCGGCGCTGGTCCTGCTGAGCTCCCTCCTGTCCGTCCTCGCCGTCCCCTCCCGCCGTCCCGCCTGCTCCAGGAGAGCCCTGGGAGACCTGCGCTGCCACAGCATCCCCCAGGACCACCAGAACCTCCGGCAGATCCAGGCTGGTCTGCAGGACCACTTCTGGGCAGGGCAGGGATGCGAGGAGATTTGTTACTGCCACCACGATGAGCTGCTCTGCTGCCCCAAGTAAGACCTCTTGCCATCCCATCCCACATGCCATGACCCGGATTGTGGTCCCTACAGCCATCGTTGTAGACAGGCATCACCTCAGAGGGTTTGAAATTATACCAAGATAGAGCCAATTAGCCAAAACGCTGCCAGTTTTCAGGTTTTGTTTCTCAGGGGACATGCTTAGCCTGTTTTGTAAACCCACGTCCCATTACAGGGGACTTCAGCATTGACATCACCCACCTTTGGACTCTTCTGTTTGACCTGAACTAGCTAGAACTGCTGCATCAGATTCCTACTGACAGCACTTTGCAATGAATCACAGAATGGTTGGGGTTGGCAGGGACCTCTGGAGATAGAATCACAGAATTGTCCAGGTCGAATGGTCGGGGTTGGAAGGGACCTCTGGAGGTGATAGAATCACAGAATTGTCCAGGTTGGAAAGGGCCCATAACTGGAAATTAATGTCATGTGAAAGCTCCAGTAAAGCAACAATTATTTAAATATCTGGCAATGTCTTTCAGGGATATTTTCTTTGGACCAAAGATATCCTTCGTGATCCCCTGCAATGGTCAGTGACCGACTCCAAGTCCTCAGTGAAGACAACAAGGGTTGTTCTACAATCATGTCATAAATGTTTCTGGGGGAAAAACAAAACAACAACAACAAAACCCCTTCCTTTCTAACCACAAGACAGCAACGCTTTTTACACTGTAGAAAAGTTTCCTTTTCAGAATCTCAGATAGGTAAGAAGTTCTCCTTTCAAATGTGGTAGCTGCCTTCCTCCCCATCATGGCGTAGAAGACTCTAGAAGCTCCTAACTCATCCTGGTCTTCATCCCCCCACACGAAGCCCACCTCCTCTCACTCAGCACAACATTCTTGATTGCTACGGATGAAGAAACTCCTGGCCTGAGGCTTCACCTCACCAGGACCAGGACTCTCGTGGCGACCTACGGCAGCTTCCTACAGCTTTATGGCCACCACGGCTAACGGCTGGTTGAAGCTGGAGCTGATGGGTCCCCAGCGCTGCTGCAGATGGCCTGCCACCTCCCATTTAAAATGCACAACAAAATACAAAAGACAAAGTCTCACCATTCGTATTTGAAAATTCCACTGGAAAAAAAAAAAAAAAATCAAAACTCACATTAACGATGCTAAATCACACTTGGGTCTTCATTATATCTAACAGTTCCCCTGCATTAACTATGTGACCTGTAAAACCTTACATTGCTTAATTGAATTTTTTAAACATTTTAAAATAATGTTAAACATAAACGTTGAACATTCAAAATACGAGAACAGTTACAGTAGTGTGTGTGTATATACATTATATATATGTATTCAGACAGATGCCTAAAGAGGATGGGACGGATGCAAAGTCTGTTAAGGCAACAAAAAAAATCCATGTAATCAGCTCTTTCAATCAAGCTTTGTTTGAAACAGGGTCCCCCAGAGCCGAGTTCCCCCTCACCCTGTCACCACAACAGCTTTTCTTCCTCCGTCAGTAATCGAGGGCTGGATGGCGGGGGCCGATTACACACAGCAAATAATAAATAATACATGTTTCAAGTAAATCCGCCTGTGCTATTTTTGCCAAGTAATTTTGAGGCTCCCGGCTGTTAAACACACAGTTTGTGTCGCCAGGCTTTTCAAGCCCAGTTCACGTAATTATTCCTGAGTCATTTGGGCTTCCAACCAAATCATCAATTAAGGGTAAAAAAAAAAACCCAACCAAACAACGACGCACAAAACAACCCATAAATCTGGCAAGCCGCGGTCAAAATATCCAAAGTTGATGCTCTGCTAAGAAAATATTTGGTGTCTGCTCCTGTGCAACGTCCTCCGGAAGCTTCCATCAGTAACCAGGGCCAGTCACTCCCGTTGGTGTCCTCGAGTTTCTACATGGTCCACGTTGCAGATGCCTGACATTCACAGCTGCACCCAGAAAAAATTAAGGCAGATGCAAATCCGGGCAGTAAGGTCAGTTTTGCAGTTCCTTTCCTTCCGCTGCTCCTGGAAAATCCATAGTGCGCCGGAGAAAAAACGGTGCCACTTTCCACCTGCAGCAGGATGGGGTCACTGAGGGATCACTGCCCCAAGAGTGGTCTCCCCTGGAAATTTACAATCACAGAAGGTGGGAAGGGACCTTAAAGCCCCCCCTGTGCCACCCCTGCCCTGGGCAGGGACACTTCCCACCAGACCAGGTTGCTCCAAGCCCCCTCCAACCTGCCCTTGAACCCCTCCAGGGATGGGGCAGCCACAGCTTCTCTGGGCAACCTGGGCCAGGCTCTCGCCACCCTCACACCAAACAAGTTCTTCCCCACAGCTCAGCTCCATCTCCCCTCTTTCAGTGTCAAACCCTTCCCCCTCCTCCTAGGGCTCCCCTCCCTCATCCAGAGTCCCTCCCCATCTCTCCTGGAGCCCCTTGAGGGACTGGAAGGGGCTCTAAGGTCTCCCTGGAGCCCCAGTACCAATTTTAGTTGCCACCCCCAAGACCAGCCCTGCAGAACTCTCTTGTGGAAATACATAAAACAATAAAAAGCTGCAGGTGAAAGCAATCTGCCCCCCCAGGGCTGGTGTCCGAGGGCAGGGTTTGTCACCCTGCGGCTCCACGCGAGGGTCAGGAACACAAAGTGGAGCATCTCAGTTGCAGGTTTCATAAAAAACTCACAAACATTGAGCAGATCAGACCACACAAACACAGCTTTCTCGGTTTCCCCCCAAATTCAGAAAAAGCTTTTAAACATCTGGTAAGGTTTAGACTTGCAGCAAATGCCAAGTGAAGAGGACGGAGCTGCGTCCTCCTCCGCTTTAGGACGAGAACCCTTCTCCCTCCACCTTCCCTCCAGCCGAGGCGAGTCCCCTACAGCAGACAGGAATCAAACATTCCACACTCTGCACCCCGGGACTGGCACGAGAGCTCAAGGACAGCACAAGGAGTCACTCCTTTTGTCATCCCTGACATCAGACTTCACCAAGATACTCAATTAAAAGCAGAAGTACAGCTGGATATTTTTCTTATACAGTTTGGGTATCCCAGCAAGGACAAGGCGAATCAACAAATCAAAGCCCCCGTAAATTCTTCTTTCCAAAGGGGAAAAAAAAAAGGAAACGTTATTCAGCCCTTTCTGCCCAACCAACAACTGGAACCATCACTTAAAGCCTTTTACCTTGGGAAAAAAACCTATTGCCAAATCTGCCACAGCTTAAAAAAAAGGCATTGCGTCATGAGAACCTGAGGTACATTCATAAATACATCCTTGGCACGCTTTAATTGAAAAATACTTTAATATTCTGACATAATTAGTCCAAGCTTAACTATCAGGTACAGGTAACTCACTAAATAAGTTACAGACACACCCACTTGAGCAACAATATCAGTGATATTTATTTAAAATACTTCTGCTGAGGAAATTCATTTCGTTAAGAGATGGTTTTTCAAACAGATCAGCCAGGTTATGAAAAAATAAAACAGAGACAAACTCTCTGGGGAAGAAAAAAAAAAAAACAACCCCAAAAAACCCCCCCAAAAAAAAAGAAGTTAGAAAGAAAGCTTTTGCGTATCGACAAAAACCCTCAGTCTTTTGATTCGGGGCCGGGGCCTCAGTCCCGACCTGCCCCGTCCTAATGGACCCCACTGTCCAGCTTCAGGTCAGGCTTGTTCTTGTCGTTCTTCACTGAGTAGATGAAATAGGTTAAGGTGTCCTTCTCGTTCACCGGGATTGTCCTGAAGTGGCAGCCGATGATCTGGGAAGGAAGAGGGCAAGGAAATTCAGCACCCACCCTGGCGCGCAGGAAACGGGGATTCACACTTAAACGGACGACATTGAGAGCTTCCGAGTGCGATCACGAAGCTTAAAAAGGGAACTAAACCCCTGCCTCTCCCCAAGAGTCTTTAATAGTCAGGAAAAAAGGTAGGACAAGAAGCATTTTATTGAGAACTGCGAAGCAAATAGAGCAGATTGTGCCCTTGTTTGCTAAGTAAACAGCATAGAGAACTTTCATGGGGGGAAAAGAGAACAGAAAAAAAAGAGAATGGAAAGAGAAAGGGGAAAAAAGAGAAAGGGGAAAAAAGGGGAAAAAAAAAAAAGAGAAAGGGGAAAAAAGGGGGGAAAAAAAAGAGAAAGGGGAAAAAAGGGGGAAAAAAAAAGAGAAAGGGGAAAAAAGGGGGGAAAAAAAAGAGAAAGGGGAAAAAAGGGGGGAAAAAAAAGAGAAAGGGGAAAAAAGGGGGGAAAAAAAAGAGAAAGGGGAAAAAAGGGGGGAAAAAAAAGAGAAAGGGGAAAAAAGGGGGGAAAAAAAAGAGAAAGGGGAAAAAAGGGGGGAAAAAAAAGAGAAAGGGGAAAAAAGGGGAAAAAAAAAAGAGAAAGGGGAAAAAAGGGGGGAAAAAAAAGAAAAAAGGGGAAAAAAGAAAGAAAAAAAAAGGGGAAAAAAAAAAATAAAAAAAAAAAGAAATAAAAAAAAAAAAAGAAAGAAAGAGTTCTCCAAAGAAGTAGGGAGCATCATTGCACCTCTGTGGTCAAAGCTGTAATAACTAAATGAAGAAATAAATCAAATAAAGCAAGCCAGTACTGACTGTGGGATATCAGCAGAGGGAGAGCGCAGGAAGCAGAGGCGGCAGCGGGAGGCTCGGGAGGGGGACACTGTCCTCACCCCCAGAAGGGCTCAGACAGAACAAGAGCCTTTGGGAATCACAACCCAACACTCAGCTCTTCGAAACAGAGCTGTCCCTGGTGACCATTCACCATGCTGAAATGTGGCAATCTCTACACAGCTCTCCAGGCACTTTGGTCTTTCCAGAAGCTTTTCCCTTCATCAAAACGAGCCCCAACTTTAAAAGAAACCTCTCCAAACACCACACCTGCCCCAGCCCCGTCCTGGGCTGTTCCTGGAATGCTTTTGGTTAAAATCGGCAAGGAGGAGTGAGGATAAAGGGATGCTCATTTAACTGCCCCAGAGGGAAAGTATAAATAAAGTCAGAAAGTTCAACTTCCAAACTCCACCCTCAAAAAAATCACAGCAACACACTTTGCAGAGTCCCTTAGGGTGGATTTTTAAGCCCTGGTTGGAGGAGCGGCTGCCATACACCAGGAACCAGAGACCCACCTGAAGCAGAGCCCTAGAAACGCCAGGTTTGGGGGAAAAACCCCACTCCTGCTCCTTCAAACTCACAGCCCTGCTCAGTCAGGAGCCAGCTCTGCCTCCGCTCCCAGGTAAGAAAACAGAAATGGATTTTAAATCCTTATTCCTAGTGACAGCCGCGCTATTCCCAGCCCTGAGACCTCCCTCCCGTTTAAGAATCCAGACTTTAATCCGGGCAGATTAAAGGAGAGACCGACACAAGGTTTGCACCGAGGTAGGAGGATTAAAATATATTTTAATTAAAATATCATGGCACAAACCGGGGGAAAAAGCATCCATGCCTCCCTGGGAGGAGGAGAGCACTACTTCTCCTCCCACACCAGCTGGAACTGTGCCTTCACAGGGCCGAAAAATTCCTTTAAAATCCCATTTCTGCGCAGCAAAGTGGCTCTCGCACACCGTTCAACTCACAGCTCAATAAAAAAAAACCAAAACAAAACTAATTTCATAAAGTTCCAGTTTTCCAGTGGCAGAAGCCAGTGGTTTAAATTAACAGGATTAATTATCAACAGAAGCTTGCTCTTCACCTTCCCATACTTTAGAGAACCAGGCAGGTTTGCAATAATGAGTTTTTTAAAGCAAAGCCTGAACCTTCCCACCGCCACACCGCACTTTTAGTTCTTTTAGCTCTTTTTTTTCCTTTAAGTTTTTTAGCTCTTTTCAGCAGGAGGATTCGGGTGAAGGTGGGACCAACGCGCAGACCGTAAATCCGTGACATTCAGGGACACACAGACCCTCTCACCATCCCCAACTCCACCCCAGATTTTTAAGCTCCTTGAGGAAAGTTAAGGAAAATAACTTGAACTTTTGTTTTACCCAGCTGGGGAGCCCGGGGAGGGGCACCGAAGGAAGCCAGATGAGCAGCTCCCTTTTTTTTTTTTCCCAAAATCCGTATTTCACAGGGTTTTTGAGGCAGGAAGCCCCAGACCCCAGGGAGGGGGGTTTTCTGGTGGGGGACAGTCCCACGTACCTCAACGAGCTGTGCTTTGTTGAGCCCCGGCCTGGTCTGTAGCTTGAAGTGTCTTTTGTACCTTCGAAGTGTGTTTACTTGTAACTGATATAAATCAACCTGGAAGAGAAAAAGTGAGGAAAAAGTGAGGAAAAAGTAGGGAAAAGAATGACATCATTGAAAAGGATTCCGTCATTTGTAGTTCACCTCCCCAAAACCATTCTGGAATCTCACAGACAGGCAGGGACCTCAGCAAATCTCTTTTTGACCAAAAAACTCCACCCGGCACCTTCCCGTGGAAAGGAGAGCAGCCCCAATGGGTTTCAGAGCATTTCACCACTGCCCAGCACAGCTCTGCCCCCCTTTAATATAATATTTGGACAATAATTAATATAATATTTGGAACTCATGACTGTCCTTTAATCTGTTCTGGGTTTTTTTTTGTTTGTTCCCACGTTTGAGCATTTAATAACACAAAGCCCAGTAGCAACTGTCAGGTGTGAAGATGCTGACTCCAAGGAAGCCCCTAAATTGTGATTTCAGCCATCAAATTTTACCAAGATACAGCATGTGGGCCCCGTGAGACGGCAGGTGCTGAAAGCAGGAAAAAGTCTAGAACATCAGGGCTTTTTTTGGCTTAAGGTGCAAGAAGAAAACCCTGCTCTCGCTCTGAAGATGCTGACTCCAAGGAAGCCCCTAAACTGTGAATTCAGCCATCAAATTTTACACAAATTTTACCAAGATACAGCACGTGGGCCCCGTGAGACAGCAGGTGCTGGAAGCAGGAAAAAGTCTAGAACATCAGGGCTTTTTTTGGCTTAAGGTGCAAGAAGAAAACCCTGCTCTCGCTCTTCACACCCCTCCCTGCTCCACCAGCCCCGGGTGGGAGTTACGGGGACAACTCCCCAAAACTTGGTAACTTGGCCAAAAATTGATGTGATGCTGCCTGGCACGACAGGGGATGGGTACCCTTTGCTCTTCTGAAGTTTAACACGGCACAAATCCCACTTCCCACCTCGCAGTGGGGACCCCACGCCCTGGGGCGTCACGGCAGCTTCCCACCACGTCCCCCAAGCCACCAGCACCACGTCCAACAGGTAACAATGGGCACGATGGTTCCCTTCCAGATGGGAACGGGAGGGTCTGGAAAGCCTTGGGAAGAAGGGTATTTTTATCCCTGCCTCAGTAAACTGGAGAGCAAGTGGGAAGCAAGAGGGTCAAGAGCCAACGGGCACCTGAAACTCCTCAAAAATGCTTTCCGGGCAGTTTTCTTTCCTGCAGCAATACCATTAAAAAAAAAACACCAAAACAAAACTGCTTTTTTTTGTTCCAGAGATACCCATCAGCTGTAACACGTTTCGTAACTCTTGTGTGAGAAACCCTCTCACAGAAGGCTTTGAGGAGAGCTGCGATTCCGGCCGCGCCAGAGCCACCTGCACCCACCCAGAACGTGCATTTCCCACAGATATTTCGGGGACAAAGGACACAGCCCAGCAGCCAGCTACTCCCAATCCCTTCAAATCCTCTTAGAGGATCCTCTCGGCCTTCGGGCCGCAGCCACGTGCCCCAGGTTTCACCCCACACGTCCCCGGTACCCGCAGACGCCGACCGGAAAGGATGGTGTTAAATTCAGGCTTTAGAGCAACCCCTCAGGCTGTCCCCTCCCGCAGAGAGCAGGCTGTGCTGACACCCAGCAGAGCACCTCGTTAGAGAATTATAGAAGATTTTTTTGTTCCAGAGATACCCATCAGCTGTGACACGTTTTGTAACTCTTGTGTGAGAAACCCCCTTGCAGGAGGCTTTGAGGAGCCTTTGAGGAGAGCTGCGATTCCAGCCGCGCCAGAGCCACCTGCACCCACCCAGAACGTGCATTTCCCACAGATATTTCGGGGACAAAGGACACAGCCCAGCAGCCAGCTACTCCCAATCCCTTCAAATCCTCTTAGAGGATCCTCTCGGCCTTCGGGCCGCAGCCACGTGCCCCAGGTTTCACCCCACACGTCCCCGGTACCCGCAGACGCCGACCGGAAAGGATGGTGTTAAATTCAGGCTTTAGAGCAACCCCTCAGGCTGTCCCCTCCCGCAGAGAGCAGGCTGTGCTGACACCCAGCAGAGCACCTTGTTAGAGAATTAGAGAAGAGTTCGGGTGCGAAGGGACCTTTAAAGGTCACCTAGTCCCACCCCCTCTGCCACAGGCAGGTTTCTGAGAGGATGCTGGAGAAGGAGAAAGCTGAAAATAGCAGTTTTCTGAGCGAACTGGCAGGTACTTAGGAATAATCTAGAAAGTCGTAGAATAATTTGGGTTGGAAGGGACGTTAAAAGACCGTCTAGTCCAACTCCCCCGACACCCCCCTCCAGCCTGGCCTTGAACCCCTCCAGGGATGGGGCAGCCACAGCTTCTTGGGCCAACCTGGGCCAGGCTCTCACCACCCTCACAGCAAACAAGTTCTTCCCCACATCTCGCCTCCATCTACCCTCTTTCAGTGTCAAACCCTTCCCCTTTCTCCCTAGGGCTCCCCTCCCTGATCCAGAGTCCCTCCCCATCTCTCCTGGAGCCCCTTGAGGGACCGGAAGGGGCTCTAAGGTCTCCCTGGAGCCTTCTCCAGGCAAATCAGCCTTATTCATTCCACAATTAATGCAGAAAACAACCCCGTAAAACTCATTTAGCTTTTGTTACGTTAAGAACCGAGTGACTCAGGAGTCCTCCCCTTTCCACGCACGCCCCAAAACACGCCGAGGGCAAGAACAAGCTTAGCACAACAATTAGGAGAAGAAAAAAAATATATAAATAAATTTAAAAATAAATGAAAAAAAACCCCAAACGCAAGGCGTTTCGTTACCTCTGGAGTGTCGACGTCTTGTACCGGCGAGTCGCCGTCGTCGTCGCTGCCTTTCCTCTTCCTCCTGTTCCTCACGCTCTGAATTAAGTTTTTGTGGAAGTCGCAGATGTAGAGATGTCTCGCCTGGAGGGGGGTCACAGATTATTTGAAGATGCTTCACCCCAGTGACTTGAAACCCTCTGGTGGGACCAGGATGGGGCAAGAACCCCAACGAAACTTTGTTTCGTTGGGGTTCTTGCCCCGTCCTGGTCCCACCAGAGGGTTTCCCAGTGTCTTGCCCCATCCCGGTCCCACCAGAGGGTTTCCCAGTGTCTTGCCCCATCCCAATCCCACTAGAGGGTTTCCTGACATCTTGCTCTGGCCCCATCAGAGGGTTTCCCGGGTTTTTACCCCATCCTGGTCCCACCGGAGGGTTTCCTGACATCTTGCATCCCACCAGAAGGTTTCCCAGTGTCTTGCCTCATCCCGATCCCACTGGAAGGTCTCCCGGTCTCTTGTCCTGGCCCGGTCCCACCAGAAGGTTTCCCGGTCTCCTATCCCGGTCCCACCAGAAGGTTTCCCGGTCTCCTATCCCAGTCCCACCAGAGGGTATCCCAGTCTCTTGCCCTCTCCTGGTCCCACCGGTGAGGTTTCCCAAGGTCTCCGATCCCACCGGAGGGTTGCCTGGTCTCCTGGCCCAGTTCCACTGGAGGCTTTCCTAAGTCTCCTGCCCCAACCCGGTCCCACCAGAGGGTTGCCTGGGGGCTTCCCGCTGCCACCGGAGGGTTTCCCGGTTTCCTGCCCTGACCCGGTCCCTCCGGAGACTTTCCCAGTCTCCTGTCCTGGTCCCACCAGAGGTTTTCCCGGTGCCCTGCCCCAGCCTGGTCCCACCGGAGGGTTTCCTGGTCTCTTGCCCCTTCCCGGTCCCACCGGAGGCTTTCCCAGTCATCTTGCCCCTCTCCCACCGGAGGCTTTCCCGGTCACTTTATCCCGGTCCGGTCCCACCGGAGGCTTTCCCGGTCTCCCGCCTGGCTCCCACCCGGAGGGTGTCCCGGTCTCCTGCCCACCTCCCGCCGCAGGGTGTCCCAGCTGCCTGCCCCGCTGCCACCGGACAGTTTCCCGGCGCCTCGTCCCGGCCCGCTCCCGCCGGAAGGTTTCCCGGCGCCTTCCCGCTCCCACCGGAGGGTTTCCCGGTGCCTACCCCGTCCCGCCGAAAGGGTTTCCCGGTCCAGACGGAGGGTTTCCCGGTGTCCCGCCCCGATCCCACCGCAGGGCTTCCCGCTGCCTTTCCCGCTCCCGCCGGAGCCGCTCCCGCCGCCTTCCCGCCCGATGGCGGCGGGGCGGGCGGGAAGGGCCGTGCCGGCGGGGGGGGGGGGG